CTGTTTCAAATCTCAACAAAAGCTTATACATTTTAGCAATAAGATGTTCATCATTGGTACATAATTCAGTTTGGCTTCACTGAAATCTTGATTTAGTCAGGGGTAACAAAAAGCAGCAAAAATTTGCCCTCGTTTCAATTGAGCATTACTCCTGGTGGCTTCATGGACTCATCCATGCAGGTTTTCTGACAACAGAGCAAAGGTAATTTGCCATTTCCTTCTTCTGGGAATTTTTTTTTACTTTCTAAACTAGCCTCAGTCCTGGTATTCTCTGGAGGTGTTCCAAGTACTAACTTCCAAGACCCTGATCCTGCTTAGCTTTGGAGCCTAGAGAAGGATAGCTAGGCATTGTAATCTGTTGAAGAGTAGTAATATTTAAGAGGAACCATTTTATGAGTAGAAGAAATGCTGAAGATTTGCTTGCATGCATCATATCCACTGCGGATTGACACATAATTAGAGGATGCAAACTCTGATTCCGCCCCTCAACATCACAAGAACAACAACCAATACTCTAGTATGCCACTCTTGTGTGTTTCAGCTACACAATGTCATTTGCTTGTGATTTGGAATTGCACATTGGATAATCCACTCTGAGTGTTTTAAACACATGGCAGTATACAAATATTTTAAATAAATGAACGAATGAATGAATGAATGGGAAGGAGAGTCTTGAACAAAACCACGGGAGCTATAAACAGTGAGTTATAGCAGCAAATATACTATATTGAAAGCAAACTGTCTCATTATAAGCACAACTTCTTGTTGAGAATGTACCAGGACTCTCTGAAGCAGAGGCTCCAGACTGCAACCATTTTAGCCTAGGCCTTTGCTGGCCAACAGAGCTCTGTGGAATGGACAGATATACCTGCTATAAAGCCCTTCCAATGTAGGTGTCTGTCTCTTTGAAAAAAATCTCACCAAATACAATTTTTGGTGTCTTAAATTCTAAGATTTTAGATTTTAAGATTAGAGACAGTTTGGTGTGGTGGTTAAGGTGTCAGGCTAGAAGCCGGGAGATGGTGAGTTCTAGTCCTACTTAGACACAAGGCAGTCCCTTTCTCTCAGCCCTAGGAAGCAGGCAATAGCAAACCACTTCTGGAAAACCTTGCCAAGAAAACTGCAGGGACTTATCCAGGCAGTCGCCAGAGTCAAAAACTGACTTGAAGGCACACAGAAACACAAAATTATATTGTACCTGAGGTATTATTATATTGTACCTGAGGTAATAGATTTCACACTTCCTGATTTGATATCCACAACCAACAGCTCCTGCAAAAGATGGTAAAAAGACTATGTCTGTGGACTTGGATGCTGAATGTGTGGATGATTTACTGGCGAAAAAGACTTTTCTCGCATTCCCTCTCAACCTAAATTACAAGGCTGGTGGGTTCTCCTGAGATTTACATAGATTTCATATTGAGCTCCAGCCTCTTAGTCCTAGCTTCTCTAATTTCAATAAACAGAAGCTTTCTTCTAAGAATCCTTGTAAGCCGTACAACTCATTGTCTTAGTTGAAAATAATGAATGGATTGCATATTTCTGCAGTTTCATGTAAAACAGTGGCTATAGCACCTTGTAAGTTACAGAAACTCCAGGTTCAAATTTTTGTTGAGTTAGAAAACTCATATTAACTCTCCTTCTGATCTATTTCTTGGAGTTATGCTGCTCCAAGTCCCTCAATCAGAGTGCATATATTAAAATGCTTGCTCTAAACCAACTATTCTGCATTACATAAATCTCAAGGTCTTACCACTTCTTTCTCTCTGGCTTTTCGGCAGGGTAGTGCAAGGTGATAACAGTTATAGTCTGTTGTTATTTACTCTGTTCTATAGAGGTCCTGTTGTTAGATCTCTTTTTTCTAAATTAAGTCTTTTCTACTGGCATCAACATACCTTTCTACTCCTCTGAGGAGTACTAAGAAAGATTCTTTGGTTATCAGAGGCCCAGCAATGCATGGACAGTGCTCCCGAGTAAATCCCATAAAAACCTTTAAAGAAAGAAGGAAGACTTTGTTAGAAGGTTGGGAAATTTAGACATTTTTAGATATTTAGACATTTAGATGTTTAAACATTTATCTTTACCAGCTTGTATAACATGAAGTAAAAGCAGGCCCAGCAATATGCCAATATTCCCTTTCCTGTTGGTATTTAGAAGGTTGGGAAATTTAGACATTTTTAGATATTTAGACATTTAGATGTTTAAACATTTATCTTTACCAGCTTGTATAACATGAAGTAAAAGCAGGCCCAGCAATATGCCAATATTCCCTTTCCTGTTGGTATTTAGAAGGTTGGGAAATTTAGACATTTTTAGATATTTAGACATTTAGATGTTTAAACATTTATCTTTACCAGCTTGTATAACATGAAGTAAAAGCAGGCCCAGCAATATGCCAATATTCCCTTTCCTGTTGGTATGGTTGACCTCACAGTGATTGGCTTCACTTTAGATTATCAAAAGGTTACATTCTTGAGGATGTGACCCTCAACACTTCTCAATATCTCAAGGATGCGTTAACTACCCTTATGGTTTGTCTCTTCCTGACTGGAAAGCAGATAATGAAAGTAGATAAACTGTCTTGACCTCATAGTCTTTTCCTGCTCAGATGACCCCTCACAAAGAAAGATATACGGTCCTGACCTTGTTTCTTAGGGATGTAAATCAGGACAGCACCTGATGGACAATCAGAGTGATA